ACATTACAAGGCATGAGAATAAAGGATTATTTCCCCCTTTAAAGGAATGGAGTTATCTGCATCTATGCCTCTAGTGACGTCACGTTTAGCCACACCCACCGACAGGAAGTAATAAAAATGAGCATCTTTGAAGGTTCATATCTCAGTGAAAAAATTTTTTTAGACAATGGGAGTTGGAATACATCATTATTATGGTCAGGCAATCATATTAAGCCAATAAAAAAAATTCACCAAAAATACACCGGACTTACCCTTTAAGGAATGGTATGGCATAAAATTAGAAATCAATAAATAAAGCATCATCTCCCCTTGTCTTATACAACTTATTGTACTGTACATTGTTTCTATAATGACAGTAAAATTCCATACCATCAAACATTAACTTTGCAACTCGTACAGTACATCCATAAACACTGTAGGGGAATGACACACAAAAATATTTTTAAGAATATTATTTAATATGCTACTGTTGCTACATGAGTAGTGAAGTGAATAATGTAAGTGTTTATTCATTGTATATTTATAATGGGAACAGTTGTTAGTATAGCATCAGTTATAGGTTAGCTCTCTCTCTTTATTAAAGACATGGAATTTTAGCATGGATTTTAGCAAGACATGGAATAGGTTAGCTCTCTTTATTAAAGAACAGTTGTTAGTATAGCATCAGTTATAGGTTAGCTCTCTCTCTTTATCCATCTTCATGATGGATAATATTAATGATAATTTCACACTAAGTGATGTCATCAATAGCCCACTGCTAGTTGCTGCATTTGCTACAGAGATGATTGGAGGACTCATAACTAACTCATTAGTACTGATACTCACTGCCTCTCATCTAAAGACTTGGAAGCAACCAACAACCATCTTTCTCTCTAACATGCTCCTCAATAACCTGGTCGTTGGGATCTGTATCATTCCTTTTGCTATCATAACAGCTGCTGTGGGTGAGTGGATCAATTTCTTTAACATAGTTTGTATGAAATAAGAATACAACTTTATGAGTGCATTTAATAATCACAGTGTGTAGTCTTGTGAATGTGGCATGAAATCTGATTTTAGCAATCATAAATCCTCCTACCTTCATTTCTTGTCCATGTAGAGAGAGAGAGAGTAATAGAGTATATACATATAAACAACTTGTGAATAATTCTCTTTGATGTTTGAGGTATTAAAATTGTGTAAATCCTGGGGCCACGAACGTGTATACACTTGTTTTCACAAATTTTGATTAAAAACTTTAAAAAGCTATTATTTAATTAAAACTATATACAATTAGTGATTGATTGCATAACCTCACAATAAATAGAATTGAATGATGACATAATGTTGTCTATTATGATGATGTTCATATAACTATAGATGCTATTTAAACTACCGTATACTGGTAGAGTTCATTATACTGAATAATAATCTAGAGCCACTATTGTAGAGTGTTATAATAATTTCTGTCTCATTGTATCCTCCTCCTTTCTTTCTTTCCTACAGCAGATCT